GTGCCTTTTGGCCTCCCCTATTAGGACTTTCTGGCTACTCCGCTGTAACTAACGGTTTTATTTATCTTGTAGCTCTGTCCTGTCGTCATGCGAGCCAGAGCTCCAGGAATTGATGCGACAGATAGACATCATGATCAGCCACCAAAAGAGGGAGTGGGAAGCTGAGATGTGCGCCCTGGAGCTCAGGGTGAAGAACGGAGAGGAGGAGCTGTTAGCCTCTAAAAACATTATTGAACGAAGGGACCTGGAGGTAAAAAAAAAAAAAAAAACTGAAAAAAATACTTCTACAAAGTATCCAAACTTGTGAGAGTTTTTTGGGTTGTTTTGTCTCTTTTTACCACATGAGGAATTTGGAGCCTTGATTTTTTTTTTTTACCAATGTGCTCTTTTGTTTTATTGCCGATTGGGTTACTTCACCAACAGCTGGAAGACGCCCAGAGAGGTCGCCAAGATGTAGTTGCAAAGTACGAGCAACAACTGCAGAAACTCCAGGAAGAGGTGAGACAACTAATCCATCGGAGAGCAAACAGCTCAAGGGTTTATCTGTGAGCATATTGCGCTGGACAACATCAAAATCTAGATTAGTCATTTTGTCTTAAAATAGGTGCATTTATTCTTAGATTGAGGAGGTAAAAGAGACATTTTGCCAATGGAACAAGACAATTTACACTTAAAGTAAGAAAACACAATTGCATTGTCTTAGTTCAAGTGCATATTATCTGATTATCTTATTTTAAGAGTAAAAATACTCCTTCCATTGGCAAACTAACTCATTTACCTCCTCAAATTAAGGGTAAATACAATTAATTTCAGAAACGTTTACTTATTTCTAGATCGTTTTTCCAGTGTAGTTGTAGTTATTTTATTAAGAAGAACATGCATTTAAAAGGGTGAGCTAATGATTCTGGACATGCTTCCTTTCAGCTTAACAAATTAAAGAGAAGTTACCAAAAACTGCAACGCAAACAGCTCAAGGAGACAAGTGGAGAAACAAAAGGAACAGAGAATTCAAAGGTTACTTTACTACATTTATACCTCCATTTCGATTGGTTACATAAGTTCCAATAAAAACACTGATAATAATGTTGACCTTAATGCTTTTTTTCCTTTAGGAACATCAGCAGTACTCAGCAGAGTGGGAGCAACAGAGGGCAGAGTACCAAAAGCAGCTGACAAACCTGGAAGCTCAGAATAAGAGCCTAACTGAGGAGATCTCCCATATTAATGTAACAGCATGTTGCTGCCTTTAAACCACAAAAAGTTTGAATGTGAAGCTGCGAGGATCTCTTTATTTTTAAGGTGTTATGCTTCATTCCCAGAGCCAGTGGGCATCATGGCGAGTGGAGCGGGAGCACAGGGAGTGCTGCTCACAGGTGCAGCATCTCTGTGCCCAGCTGGAAAAGGCCCACAGCAGCCTGCTTTCTCAGGAGCTGGAACTGGAGCGCCTTCGACCATTTGAGTCCCTGTTGGCACGGCGGCAGAAGGATCAGCAGGTTAGCAAGTGGGATATGAAATACAGCGTGTTTTGCAGCTCATACAAACCATTTCAATCTCAGGGGGAAAACAAATAAAAGGCAGAGATCATATTTTGGAAAACTACAGCATATTAAATACAAATCCACACAATGCAAAAGTAGTTATTCTGCTAGAAGCTTGTCACATTCTACAAAAACCCTCACCTCAATATTTTTATTGGGATTTCAAAAAATGAATTGCTAAACTTTGGTTTTCAAAAAAAATTTTTTAGAAATGAAAATCTGAATAGTGTGGCATCTATTTTGTTCAGCCTCTCAGTTGGAACCTTTGCAGTCACAGCTTCCAGCACTCTGAAGTTCATAACTGTCGCCTTTAGAGACTTTCCTGTATCTCAAAAGGTAGATAAAGCCCAGTCAGAGTGGATTACGATCATCTGTGGATTTAGCTCTAACCTTTGACTGGGCCAATCTAAATGCACGAATACAATATGATGAAAGATCATTTTGCAATGAGGGGTGACCGGAGACCAAATGAAGCCAGAACCAGATTAGAATCAATCTATACTGATCAATCTGTACCATCAGGAAAATGAACAAACACACATGAGGCAGACTAGATTCTTACTTAACTGACAAATATATACAAGTGTTAAAACATCTATGTTGTCAAAAGGTATATTTTATGGTTCTGAATAGTATATATATATATCAGAAAGTATGAGCAGTCGTTCTTTATTTCTGATTACTTTAAAAACTCCCAGATTTATGAAAAAAACAACAACTAAACTTTCCTCTATTTCCCATGAAACTCAGCAACTAGTTCTGAAAAGAGCTTTAATTCTGTTTTTCATTATTAATGTCAGTTTATGGTTAATATAACTGATCTCTATTTATTCACTGGATTGCTAATTGCCTGAAAAAAGTGAAGCCACCGTCTACCATGCTGGTACTGCCCACTCCCACAGAGACACGCAGTAAAAAATGCCTCCCTGTGATGAATTTGGCTGCAAAAACAAGCAGTTTCCTGGTTGTGGGAAGACGATCCACAGATAATTTCACAGTCAGTGGATGTACTGACCAAGAAAATCCATATATACACCAATGCATCCTATAGTATAGTATGTAGCGTAACAATAGTCTGGCTATTTTGGAAGGACTCAAAGTGATTGACTAAATTAACATTAGTCTCTAACATTAGAAAATAGAAAGTAGAGCAAATAGAAAGTAATTCACTGTGAAATGTAAATGTATAAATTCTTAATTAAGTGGATGATGCTGTCATTTTTGTAGTGTTTGTTTTATTTCTCATGTGAAAAAGTTATGTGCTGGGTTAGGATATATATATATATATATATATATATATATATATATATATATATATATATATATATATATATATATAAATATGGGTAAAATTTCAGCTTTTTTTTAAATCAGTGTAACATGCAAAATATTTCTGCATGTCATCTGTAATAAATCCATGTATATTATATATACATCATCAGTTTAGCACTTTTGGCACATCTGTATTATTATGCTCCATCAACACATTTATTTTATTGTGATGGATTTGTATTATATGTTATTTTACATGATTTATACACTTCATTGACTTCATAATGACTATACAATGTGATGTGCCTATTTTTTTTTAATATAAGTTAAAGTAATCTACTTATGCTGTGAAACAGCAAGTGTTTGTCAAAGTGATGAATTTATATTTACTTTAAAAGTCTTATATCCCCCTGAAAGTGAGAACATCATTATTGTTTGAGGCTGTAGCGCACATATTGTTTACATTGCCACTAACTAGGGAGTACCAATATGGAGGCCAGTGGCTTCACTTCAACGCCATTTTACCAACAAGCAATCAGCAACCCAGTGTATAAGTAGAGATCAGTGGTTAATATACATACAGTTAAAATGTCAAATGAGTCAGTTTACCTATATCAGTGCTTCCACCTTCTGGTTTAAAGTGGAACTGCTTGTTAGTCAAATTAGAAGGATTCTAGTTTTGCTCCCTTTTGCCATAACAGGGATCCTGCAGATCCTTAAAAAAAAATCATTAAATTCTTCAGTATAAAAATAAGGCCTTAATTGGTATTAAAATGTCTTAAATCAGTCTTTCATAGGTCTTAAAATTGTCACCAAGTCATAAATGTGATTTTATTTTGTAATTCATACCAAAAATTAAAATAATTCATGATAATTTTTTGACATTTACCGAACAGCTTAGCTGTAACTATTATTGGTTCCATCATGAAAGCAGAACCAATAAAAACAATGTTGCAAACAGACCTTGGTGTGATGCGCCAATAACGTGGGGAAGTGTTAAATTCAATGAAAATCGGCGATCCAGCTAAGAGTTTTCTGCATAGCTCAAAACGTTCCCGGGTATATTATATGAGGAATGGCGTATTTTGAGTAAGGAGTCATTCAAGCTTGGAACAATGGAATCAAAGCTGTTGAGTCAGACATGTGAAGAATGAAAAACAAAGCGCTGAAATTAAGTTACAGAGAAACAGCAGCTATTTCTCAGTTCTGCTCCATCCTTGTCTCTGCAAGGCTTTTATATCTGTATCTGACGTCAAAAAAAGTACCAGTAGCACCAAATCTATGGATAATGTTTGGCGGTTCGCCTAAAATGAAAGCAGAGCTAATACGGACTTTGAGTAGGGATCAAAACAAAGTTGGTGAATTCCTTTCATTAGTTGTTAAAAATATGGCTGTTATTTGTTTGTTTTTAGATTTCCTCCTATATGGGAAGTTTTTTTTTAAATTGTAAACATTTCTACTGGGCTAGAAAGTAATGGTTTATGTTAAAATAAGCATCAGGTTAAATTTGTCACAATCAGGTTTTCTTTTGTTTATTTATTTCAAGGGACAAAAAAAGTCTTAAATTGAACTTGCCTTATGTTGTAGAAACCCTGCAAGAACAGATTGAAGAAAGAAAGAAAAAATACGTTTTGAGATCAATTTCGCACATTTTTAGAAAAAAAAAAAACAGGATATTAAATTTAAGAGCATAAACTAAGAAACATCTATGATTCCAGGTCATGTGTTTCCACCATTTCCTGGTGTTTAATGGAAAAACAGCTGTTTTTCTTTTTTATGTGGTTACACATAAAAAACAGTGATGATTTGGGTTTTTGTTTCCAAACGAAAAGAAATCAATGATTTATTTTTTCTCACTTGCCTCACATTTAAGCCAACCTTCATGTTGGCTGTTGTTGTCGTAACAAAAAACAAAAAAAAGGTTTAATAGGCATGAACTCTTTTGCTCCCTCATCAGGTCTGTCTTCTCAAACATCTCCAGGATGTGCTGGATAAATAAGCCAGACTACTTTGATTGTTTTTCTCTGACCTACTTTGATTGTTTTTCTCTGACCAGAATCCTATCAGGCAGAACTCTTAGAATCTATTTCATTGATCTGAACCCAACAGGAAGGGATTGGGAGCCCGTCAGACTCCCAGGATAGAAGCATGAGGAGAACTGATCTCCAGCAACAAAGACTACAGAATGAAGCTGCCAGGCTCTGTCAAGCGCTTCATGCTAAAGATCAAGTCATCCGGTAGGTGAACCGTTCCAGCATTCCTAGATGCAGTGTGACGCCTCATACTCAAGGTGGCGCTCTATCCCCACATTGTTTAAGATGCAGTGGATGAAAGAGTCTGAAGGAAAAGTTACAACAATAAAAGTTTTAACATTTATGCACATTTTGATTGGTTTTCTTGTGCTCTGCAGCTCTCTGGAGGACTGCCTGGCGGCTCAGGGCTGTGCTGGTGTGGAGATCCTCAGGAAGGACCTAGAGAGGACAGCAGCTAAGCTTCAGGGAGCACAAGCATGTGAGGCACACCTCAGGGCTGAGGTGGCATGTCTGAAAGAGAGGTGATTACTTTCATCATCTGAAAGGAAAAGAAGAAACCTTCACTAAAAACTGGTACATTCAAACTTCTGTCTTGTTTTTTATTTTTTTTCCCTCTCATCTGGGCTCAGATTGGAGAGTTTAAGCAGACAGCAAAGTGATCAAACAAATCTGGAGGAAGAACTGAGAACCGTAAAGGCAGATTTTGACTCTTCATCTGCTGAAATCAAGAAGGTTAGACTTCTGCTTATGTTTGTGTGTGGGTTTTACCGTCGCCATGACAGCATACCTCTCTCATCCCTGGAATTCCTCTTTAGCTCAGGGAGGAGCTGGAGAGGTCCCGGCAGACCCACAGCAGAGAGGTTGAGGGAATGAGGAGGGAGGTGTCCAAGCTGACAGCTGAGCTGCACCGCCGCGACCTGTCCATCTCTGCACTGAGCGCCTCCTCGAACAGCATCGAGGTGCGGCGGGCAGAACAGAAAGCAGCTGAGCTCAAAGTGAGTTTGTCTGGTTTATCAAACTGGAGAGTTTAAAGATGATGGAACCACCTGCCCCCCAGTAGCAGTCGCTCATCATTAGATCTAAATTCATTATCTATACCTAAAAGGTTCCTTATGCTCTGATCCACTCACTGAAGAACTGAATTATCTCCCCTGATTTTAGCAAGTATGTAAGACAACATGCCAGTGGAATAAGATGATTTATGTATAGAAAGAAAACATCTCAATGTCTTTTTTCAAGTGCATAATATTTGATTATCTTACTTTTAATAGCATAAATACTAATTTCATGTTATTTACCAGCATAAATAAAGGGCATATACACTTATTTAAACACATTTTTTCTTATTTCAGGTTCTTTTTTTATCAGTTATATATAAGCTGTAGTTTTGGGGGTGCAGCTTGTTTTCATGGAGACACAGGTTAAATTTTTAATAGTGGCCAAGACCAGTTGCACTAGAACCCCCCATGATCTTCATCTCACTCTGTTTCTGCCTCCAAAGTGTTTTTCTTTCTCTATTTTCCTCAAGTTTTCTTCCTTTCCTAAACTGCCTCTCACTGTCTGTTGAAAACATTGATTTTTTTTGTTCTCATTATTGTATTCTGGTTCTATGTTTTTATTTAATGGTGTAAGAGTAAAAGGGGCAAAAATGATCAAATAAATTATAGGTGGAGACTCTTAACAGGTTTGGGATTACCAAGTATTTTTTCCAGGGTTAGAGGTGTGTTTGCACGTTTTTATGAAACCACATAGACATTTTTTCCCTCCTGTTGCTCACTTAGATGACTCAGGCCCAGCTGGAGTCTCTGCAATCTGAGAACCAGCATCTGAAAGCTCTGCTGCAGAAACCCCAGCCTCACTCACCCAAGGTTTGTCTGTCCAACATCCAGCTTAGATTCTTCTGCATTGGCTTGGGAATGTTGCTCATCCCTGATCTGCCTTTGCATCCTTTAGGAAACGGGATCCTCACCAACATCCCTGCAGCAGCACTACACGCCCCCGCTGAGCGGACTTGAAAAGGAAAACCGACACTTACGGCAGCCGCTCTCTAAGACGCAGACACTGCCAGATGCCCCAAGTAGGACGTGTCAGGAGAGGTATGAACAAGCTCTCCTCAGCCACGCCATGACGGAGCACCTGCAGCCTGATCAGGAAAGGTAGATGCCACAAACATGTGGGTAAAACACAAAACGCCTCCATACCATAATACTCTAAATCCCTGTTGATGCAGGCTTTGGGAACAGAAGACAGCCACTAGTTATGAAGGCGAGATCCAGAGGATCTTTAAAGCTCTTCAGATCTCACCACAATCTTCCCACCAGCAGCCCACAAGCGAACACAAAGACAGCAGAGCACATTCCTCTTCCTCCTCGTCGACCAGCAGCAATGCTAGACTAGCCAGGAGAAACTCGGTGCCAAACTTAACTCCTCACAAATCTGCTGCTGAGGGCCAAAGCTCCAGCTCTGAAGACTCTCTGACCTCTCGGTTCAGAGAGAGAGGGATTCCCTCTCCCTCTTTGGAGGTGAGTTGTCCGATTTGATGCCCGTGCTCCGCTCCGTCTGCCGAGAGCTACAGTAGATGTTTGTTTTTTTCTTCCCCACCAGGAGGCGCTGTCGGCGTCACCCACACGCAACGCAGTCACCCGTTTCCTGGAGGAAGAGAGCTTATGGTCCAGTGAACTCCAACAGAAACTGGACAGCCACATCCAGGGCATGAATGAGAACAACTTCAAGACGATGTCCAAGTTCCTTGAGAACAGCTCAGGACAAGGCTGACCCGGACCTGTGAAGGTCTCAGCAGTGACTCCAGCTTTAATACACCCGACAGCAAACAGGATAGTGTGTTAGCTGACTCTTTGGAAACAACCCGCTCTTGTTTTCACAAGTTTTTTGTACCTTTTAGTGCAAATCGGTGTATTGTAAATCTTATGGCGCAAGCTTTGTAAATTAGGTACATTTAAAAAACTAAAAAAACAAGTCCAGTCCTGTTGTGTCAGAAAATGCGCCACTTCTGCTGTGCCCCTTTAGACATCTCATCACAGCTGACGTACGTTCTGTCATCACGTTTAATTTCTTCCATCTATATCTAAGGATCAGCTAGCTATCTATTGATGAATGCTCTGGTCTGAATCTGCTTAATATTTATTAGCTGAACTCATCAGAAAGTAGGTCAGGCTGCTGTCAGTTGGAGCCAGTGTAAGCATTCAGCATCCTGAGGTGATTAAACATTCCTCCATCAGACAAAGCATTTGTTTTCTGTTACAGAGCATTAACTTAATGTCAGGAGCTTGCTGCTGTGATTGGGGTATATTTCTCTAGCAAACATAAGGTATTAGCTGGTGATCAAAATGCTAACGCTACAGTATCAGATGAGTGGGACCATTATTCCCATAAAGTCCAGCATCTATCTGCACCATTGAACTCTAGTGTTAAAGCTCCAGCAGATGTTTCCCACTGCTTTCTTTTGCTTTACCCTAATTTCATGTAGAGCCACGTGTAATCAGATGCAGAAATAATGTGTTCTGGCTGTGACCTTATTGCTGAAACCAATTTAGGACAATAAACTGAATGATATACTCTGTCAGGTATGTTAGAAAGATAAAAAAAAAAAAAGTACAAGGAAAGCTTAGACTATTGCTGGAAAGTTTTAATAAAGTAGGGCTCCTGTTTATTAATTTATTAGGAAACGATGCTGATGGAGGGTGACAGTCCTGCACCAGATGTGCAAAACGATCTAAATGTGTTCCCATTTGATGTCAACCAGCCTGATTACCATCCAGTTTCTTTAGATTGTTCATGCTCTGGATGCCCCCCTGTGTCTCTTTCATTTACTCTCCCTGGTTTCATCAGCGTTTACAGCCACCTATTCTGCAGAACCCCTCTAGCTTGTCAAAGTGGAGGAATGTGTGCGCCATGCCAGTGCTGTCATGAAGCTTCCCCTGCGGTCTGCTTTGTCCTCATCATTAAAAACCTGTTGGAATGTTAATATCAACCATGTGGAAGGCTGAGAGGCCAGGGGAGCTTTGTCCAGATGAATTTTATAGCTTGTTTTTAATGAGAGACATGTTGAATGAATGGAAATAAACTGAGGAAAATAAACAGAAAAACAGGAATGTGTTTTTCATTTTTCCTGTTATTATAGGGAACAGAAATGTGATGGTCGGCTGGCTGTCAGACCTTTGGCTTCTCTCCCCCCCCCAAACAAACAACACTGAAGAGTTTGGCAAAGCAGGGATTCCTCCTTCCAAGTTCTGCATGTGGAGATTTCAGGAAAGGGGCTTACTAACACAAATATTCACTCCTGGCACTTGGAGATTAAGGCTTCAGGTTTATTCATGTAATGATTAATGAGGAGTTAATGCTTCAAAGTTTAGGATTATTGAGCAAGAGGGATAAATGTTAGGAGATAGAATGTTTATGTTGTACATGATACAGGCAATTTTTAATGAAAACACGTTTCATGTAAAATGTGTAGCATTTGGCTAACTACAAACAGATTGTTTCTTCAGACTAATTTAAAATATTAGTGAAAAATAGTTTAACTAGTATGATGCAGAAATACAAGCTGTATAAAACAGGACAAGATGGTAAATTAAAAAGTATACAATTCTAACCATAGTTCAGCAATTTAACCGGAAAGCTTAATGGCTGCTTGGTAGTTCTGCAGCTGATGTGGTAACTTAGGATCAAACCAAAAACTAGATCGGTAAGGACACTAAAGCCACAGCAGAAGTCCATCATTAGTAAGGGTGTGCAAAATAATCGTCAAATCGATGAATCGTGATTCTAATTTTTGTGATCTACTGAA